ATTGTGAGATCTCTTGACTAATAAAGAATTCCAAATATCAAATTACTTGAAATGATGGATGAGGACAACTGAGATCCAAATTAGCATAATAAGAAAAGGAGTAGATTTACTTAAAGTGAGTTTGAAATGTAGATACTTTTGAAATATTTCTTAGCATGATTTACTTATTCTTTGTGTATATTTAAAATTATTAGTATCATTCGAAATTATTACGCATTATTAATATAAAATATATATATACTATTAATTAAGTGCATTAACTGTCACACACCCTAATTCATGGCAGGATTTTCCTTTCTTGCTTTGAATTATTATATCAACTCTGCCAATGGAGCAAGTTCCTTATCCTCAACTAATTTGAATTCATCTAAATTCTATTAATATCAATACCAATAAAATATATGAAATGTTTGAAACAAGTATTCAAATGATATTCTAATTCAAGTGCCATAATATGTTAAAAATGAGAGTGATAAATATGAGCATAAACTCTAAACAATCTCTTAAAGATTACTTTGACAACAGATAAAAATGTTTTTGGGAATGGAATTCCTTAATAAAATGTATAAATTACCAATTTAACATGGAAATAATGAATCATTATTAAGTTAGTTCTCTACCCAAGTCATTAAATAATCAATATATTCTGAGGCAGAAACTTTAAGAGGAGTTTTAACATTCTATCCATCTGCCCATAGATATTCATATCTTGAAACATTAATTTCAATAATTACTTGGGACCAGCAGACATAATTGGACATAGTTCAGGAGTGCAAAATTCTACTAATGTTCCATATAGAATTGATATCTCATTATAAAATTCGATTGTATTGACAGCCAACCATTCATTTAAATCTTCACCATTTGGTAATTCAACTGCTAATAACATATTCCCTGAACCAAGAGTCATTTAAGCAATTTATTTTAAACCATATCCTCTCTAGTTTTTATCAATTTGTTTGAGTGGCTTGTAAGTTTTAGGATCATTTGGTTGCATTTTGAATTTTAATATAAAAAGATAAAACAAACAATTAAAAAGGAATGTATTAATACATAAATTATAAAGTATTTGTTCATTAATTAATTACTTGGTCTATGATCTTATTTATTAATTATTATAGTATACTTATGAAAGAATCACAGTTATATTCCATCGATTGCAATAATATTTATTAGGTATTCTTTGATCTTAGACTTCTTATTCTGTAAAGTACAAAATATAGATCTTCTTCACTTCTGTAGCTTTCTATTTAATAGATGCTATCATATCTTATTCTTTCTAAGCTTATAAGTTATTCTAATCGATATTTAATATAAGTATGTAATTGGAAGTTTAGAGAAAATAAACTATGATCTTGAAATGGACATACCATTAATGATTGGACCATAATTTTGTATTGTCATATCATGCATTAGAAACTTGACAATGTGCACTCCATTTTTTTCTTGAATTCTCTTAATGGCTAAATCTAAACAAAGTTTGCTTAATGCATAAAAATATTAATAAATACCTTTTAATTGGAGATATCAACTCGTCATTGAAATCTTCACTACTATTTTTACGACTCTACATGCAAAACATGGTTAATGATTGTTTCACATATTCGTTGATGTCTCCCAAAATCATAATATGATGACTAAATATATTATCTCCTGATTTCAAAACTATATCAGGAGGTAATTCAGAGGTGTCAATATAATCCACCTATGGGGAGCTATAGTTATGTTCAAATCCTTCAATATCCTTAAGTATTTCCTCATCATCATCAACTTATTTACTCTTGTTTAACCAATTTAATTTTTTATCATCATAGAATAGGTTAGTTTAATTCTACCCTATAGTTGCCAGCTCATTTTTAAATTATTTTCTACTTGAATATATTCCTCTAAACTATCTGAATCGAAAGCACAACGTCTTCTTCTTTGCATCAATAAATAAAATAATAATATAAATCATTAAATCCTCTAATTCACTATTGTATAAAATTTGTTTGTTTTTTAAATTGAAAACTAATCTTAATATCAAGATAATAAAGTTTATACAAATAAATTCAAATACCCTTTTTTCTTAAGGTTTTTTTTTAAATCTCTTTATTCTCTTCATTATTTTTGAAATCATGTTATTCTTATAACTTTACCAACATTTTTACATAACATTTTCACATATTTTCTGTTTATACTCAAATGAAACATAGCAATGCTGTTCATCATACATAATAAATAATAAACAAATTAAGGTTATCTTCATTGCATAATTGATGATAAAAGTATGATCCTATAAAATAAAATCATAACTACCAAAAAAGTAAAAATAATTTATTAATTTAAATCTCAATTTTTTCTATAGAAAGACTAATTATGATTGATAATTTAAATTAATTTCTTTTTAAAATAATTTATTCATCTTAATTATTAAAGTTTATTAAAGCCTTATTTTAATAATTAAAGATATAAGTCTATAAAAAGTCTTAGTATAAAATCCAAATTATTATTGAAAATATCACTTATATTATAAATATACTCTAATTTCTGTATCCTAAAATAAAATGATTTTATATATATTAAGATAATGATATTAAAGAATTTTATTCACCAAATATCAAAATAATAAAACTGCATATTTGAAATTTTTAAAATATATCAATAAATTTATTAAATTATTCACTCTATTTTTTTTTTAATTAAAAAGTTGTTCATAAATATAATCTTGATATAAAAATTAAAAAATAACAGAATTTACTTAATTCTTAAATTATATTTAGGACA